CCCCAACCCTGCTCCCAACACAGAGGGCCTCAATGTGCTCTTCCCCTGAACTCCTCTCATCGGGTGTTGGCGGTCAGCAGCTGCAGCAGCACGTGGTTTAATCCTTGTAGATGTAGGTGCAAGTGCCCTTGGCAAGCGCTAGTTTGTAGCTGACACCTCTGAAGTGGGCAACGGCAGCCCTGATGGACTTGGAGCCTCCTTGAGGGGTGAGATGGGGGCAGAGGTCAAAGGGGAAAGGAGAGAGGTTAGAAGCTGCTGCGGCTTCAAAGCCGAGGGGAAGTGTTGAGCTGAGGACTGGGCTCATCTAGATGCTGGAAGTTCTCGGTTCACGGTTCACGATTGCTGAAGCCTAGCTTGAAGGATTCTGAGCATAGCTTTCCTAGCGTGTGTGCAACTGTATGATACTTTGAATACTCTTTGGCATTGCCCTTCTTTGGGATTGGACACTGACACTGATCAATCCAATGAAAACTGACCATTTCCAGTCCTGTGGCCACTGCTGAGTTTTTCAAATTTGCTGACATATTGAGTGCAGCAATACGGCCTTCCCTTGCGGCTCAGCTGGTAAAGAACCCGCCTGCAATGCGGGAGACCTGGGTTTGATCCCTGGGTTGGGAAGATCCCCTGGAGAAGAGAAAGGCTACCCACTCCACTATTCTGGCCTAGAGAATTCCATGGGGTCCATGGGGTCGCAAAGAGTCAGACATGACTGAGCGACTTCCACTTCTTGAGTGCAGTATTTTAAAAGCATTATCTGTGAGGATTTTAAATAGCTCAGCTGGAATTCCGTCACCTCCACTAGCTTTGTTCATAGTAATGGTTCCTACGACTTCTAGCTAGCCTTCGGCAGCATGTGAACCGAGAACTTCCAGATGTACAAGCTGGATTTAGAAAAGGCAGAGGAACCAGAGGTCAAGTTGCCAACATCCACTGGATCATAGAGAAAGCAAGGGAATTCCAAAATACAGCCTTGGACATCATTTAATACTTCTGCTTCATTAACTACACTAAAGCCTTTGACTGTGTGGGTCACAACAAACTGTAGAAAATTCTTAAAGAGATGGGAGTACTGGGCCATCTTACCTGCCTTCTGAGAAACCTGTATGAAGGTCAAGAAGCAACAGTTAGAACTGGACATGGCACAATGGACTGGCTCCAAATTGGGAAAGGAGTATGTCAAGNCCTGAATATTTATTGGAAGGACTGATACTGAAGCTGAAGCTCCAGTCCTTTGGCCACCTGATGGGAAGAGAGGACTGATTGGAAAAGACCCTGATGCTGGGAAAATTTGATGGCAGGAGAACGGGGTGGCAGAGGATGAGATGGTGAGATAGCATCACTGGCTCAATGGCCATTAATTTGAGCAAACTGCAAGAGATGGTGAAGGACAGGGGAGTCTGTCCTGTTGCAGTTCACGGGGTTACAGAGAGTCGTACACGACTTAGCGACAAACAACAGAGGCTGGAAAAGACCCCCGGGAGGATCTTGGCCCTGAGATACCTTGAATTTAGCCTGTAGGACTCATTTTGTACTTTTGCACCCTGACCTGTAAGAATTAATGTGTATTGCTTAAAGCCTCTCTGCTTGGGTGATTCATTCTAGTCACTAATGCAGGAGCCAAGGGACAGAGTCACCAAGGGACGCCCCGAGCCCTGACCACGGCCCAACTCTCTACCCCCAAGTGCAGAGCAGCAAGGGGCCACTGCCCAGGGTCCCAGCCTGAAGGGCTTGTTTGGGGCTCATCACACCCCTCGTCGTCAGAGCCCCTAGAGCCCCCAGACCCTGGGGGCCTCACGGAGGGAGTGGGTCCTGGTGTCGTGATGGAAGGGAGCAAGTGGCCAGGGGACAAGCCCCGGGGAGGCGGCAGGTGCCTTCCTGGGCTTCAGTCCTGGGAGCGCAGCCCTCTCCTCTTTGCTCCCACCTGGCAGAGCTGGGCGGTGAGTTGGAGGACAGCTCAGGGGTCCTGGGGCACGCAGGGATCTCAGGCAGGGGTGGGAGAGGCCTTGGGTGTGCAGGGTGGTGGGCTTTTGTTCCAAGGGTCCACCCTGGGTCCAGAGGAGCTTACCTGGGGCACCTCCCAGGGGCCAAATCCCGGGACCGTTACTATGTAGCCATCGCTTGTCCCCAGATGGTACCCGAGACAGGAACACGGCGGGCTCCCTGTGCAGGGGCAGCTGTGCCAGCTTGTGGTCATCACCCCGTCCTGAGGCTGCCGGACCGTCACCTGTGTGTGTGTGTCAGAGCCCGGCTTCCAGCAATGCTGAGGTCTCCGGTAAAACACGACCCCGCTTTTAACTCTGGTACAAGCTGCCTGACTTTGGCACAGAGACGCCAGCTTCCCTCCAGCAAAGGCTTTGCTGTGAATCTCGGAGCTTCCGAGGCACCTCTTGCCTCCTCCCTGGGGAGCTCAGAGCTCATCTCTGTCGCGGGCTCAAGCCCCCTCCAGGTGGATCTTTCCTGAGACCGTTTTCCTTCCTGGCTTCCTTCCAGCCTCTCGCACCCCTGAACCTGTCGTCGGGCGGAGAACCGAGACGCACCCTAGATTTAAGAGCCTCTGAAGCTGACAGTGCTGGAGTGGCCTGGCCCTGTGGGTGGTCCAGCCCTCGGGAGTGACGAGGAAGACGTGAGGAGCAGGAGATGAACTGGGCAGTGAGGGAGGCGGGCGTTCCAGGGCAGGGCCAGGGCAGGGAGGGAGGGCTCATCCGGACGGCACCAGTCATGGGCCACTGTGTCCGGGACGGTGGCGGGGTGGGCAAGGCCCTGAGCTGGAGGGGGAGAAGGCGGGTGGGGGGTGGATCCCGACAAGTCTCCCAGAGACGACCCCCCCCTGCCCGCCTGACACTGTAAGCTGCTCCCCTTGGGGTATTTTCCTCCTTGGTGCCTGGGGTTCCCCACCCCAGTTCCAGAATCCTGGAGAGGGTGCCCATTAAATACAAGACAAGGAAAAACATGAGCAGAGAGCAGGGTTTCTGAATGACAACAAGGAAGTTTTATTGCAAGTCGACTGGGTGCAGGGACAGGGCTGGGGTGGGCCCATGGACCCTCCTGGATCCTGTTGGGACCCAAGCCCTAATCTCGGGGGCTCCAGCCCCCCGCCCCCCGCCGTCACTCTGACTCTTCAGGGTCACACGCCCTGTCCTGTCTGCATAACTCGTCCCCCGCCTGTGCGCCCCGCAGCTGCTGGCATCGGCGGCCGTGACCCCTCACCCTTCCTGGGGCATCGGTCTGCAGTGACCCCTGCCACCCCCAGACCTCACCTACTCCCAGGGTCCCCACACAGCACTGCCATCTGCCCTGGGGTCGGGTCCCTCCCTTTTGCCTCACAGTTTCAGACGGTGAAGCGTCCAGGGAAGCAGCTCAGACATTGTCTGGAGGCCGCAGGGAGCCAGGGGAGAGGCCCCGGCGGGCTGGCGGTGGACATGCCTGCCGTCCCATATTGTCCTCCCCATCTGGATGTTCTCTGGCTTTTGCTGGGTAACTGTCCCTCAAGGAAACGTGAAGAAGCCCAGAGGGAACAGGCTAAAAGGGGGAGGGTTACAGGCCTAGGGCGACTGAGACCTCAGCCCCAGATGGGTAAGAAAAACACAAAAATCTACCCAGTTGTCACTCCTGACCCCAGAAAGCTGGCAAAGGGGAGACTCACCCTGGATGGCCGGCTGGGTCCCTCCACCGAGCACACACACAGTGACACAACCTCGAACATAAACCCTGCTCTCAGCCCCGCCACCCCCGGCCCAGGCCCGCCTGCAGCTGCACATGAGCCCCACGCCCGCCCTCCTTGTCAGGGGGGCTGGTCGACCCTCCCGGTGGGCGAGGGGAGCGGCCCCTCCCGTCCTGTGAGTTCACCCCTGGGAAATGGGGCTCTGGCCATCTCCAGGCGGGGGAGGGGCAGGAGGGATGGCTGGGTGTCCCACCGGGTCCCAGGGAACTTCTTCTCCTGGAGGAGGTGGAGACTCCTCGTGAGCAGCTTTGGGGGTTGCCCCGGTGGGAGGGTGAGGAGACGGTTTACGGCCCAGAGGGAACGGAGCTGTGGTCTCCGCAGGGTGAGGCCAGGGCGGATTCTGGAAGCACCTCTGTCCTAGAGACACGTCCAAGCAGCATGGCCGTGTTTGCAGCGACTCGTGTGTGTGTGTATAACGGTGCTCACGTGTGCTCACAGTCTATCCGGGTCTCAGGTCCCATTCTGAGCTCCCAGGAAAGCGCCCAAGGTCAGAGATGAACCCACCACAACCTCCCTAACCTGATTCTCGGCTTGAGCTCACGGAACACATCGACCGAAATGAGCACCTGGGCCTGAGATGGTGCTGGGCTCCGTGGTGACTGAGTTCTAAGGGGTCGCAGAGAGCAGAGCTGGGCTGGTCAGAGACTTCGTAGGCAGCTGGGACCTTCCTGACTCTCAAGCGGGAGGAGGGCGACCTGGGGGCACTGTGAGATGAGTGGCCAGGGTTGGGGGCTTGCCGGTCCCCTGGAGAATGTGACAGGGAGGCCTGGGGGAGGGGCAGAGGGCAGTGGCCCTGGAGAGGTGGAGTCGGGGGAAGTCTCGGCTGTGACGACTGGGAATCACTGGGGTGGGGTTTCAGCCAAAACACGCATGACATTAGGGGAGTCATCATCTAAGTGGACAGAGGGCTGCTTGAGCAGGAGCAGCTTCCAGATGTGATTGTTGAGGACCCAGGGGAGGGAACTGAGATACTGCCCTGGGGCCATGGCAACCAAAGAGTGTGTGGCCTGGACCATCAGAGCCGGACGCGGTCCACACAGAGGAGGAAGCATGAAGGCTGATGGAGAGGGTGGACAGACTTCCACCCCTGCAGTGGCCCCGTCCCCTGTTCTAGAATGTTCTCTGGGGAATTCTGGGTGACAGTGAAATCATCCCTCCCGAAAGCCCCAAGCCTCCACCCTCTCTCCTGATTCCCAAAGGCTAAGAGGATTTGTTTCCTTTGAGGATGACTGAGCTCAGGACACCAAATGTATCAACAAAAATGAGCAGAGAGCATTCATTTCTGAATGACAATGAGGACATTTTATTGAGAGCTGATTGTGTGCAGGAGGAAGGGCTGGGGGAACCAGGGTGGGAGGGTAGAACCTGCTGGGGCGGGGGCCCAGGGGTCCATGGAGGGCTGGGGAGGGGGTGAGGGCAAGAGGGGCCCGGGGCCCTAGGAACACTCTGAGGGCTTCACTGTCTTCGCCACAGTGCTCCCCTCGTGCGTGACCTCGCAGCTGTAACTGCCTCTAGATTTCCACTCGCTGCCCGTCAGGGTCAGGTAGCTGCTGGCCACATACTTGCTGTTGCTCTGTTTGGAGGCCTGGGTGGTCTCCACGCCCCGGGTGACGGTGCTGCCGTCTGCCTTCCAGGTCACGGTCACGCTACCCGGGTAGAAGTCGCTGATGAGACACACCAGGGTGGCCTTGTTGGCGCTGAGCTCCTCCGTGGAGGGCGGGAACAGAGTGACCGAGGGTGCGGACTTGGGCTGACCTGCAGGTGGGGGAGGGGATGAAGGTCACAATCAGGTCTGCTGTCCGTCATGGGAGCCCCCGAGTCTGTGTCACAGTGGGACCCAGGATCCTTTGAGAGCCCGGCAGGACCCCGAGTCCAGGCACCACCGTGAGCCAGAGGGTCTGTGCCAGGGAAGGTGGGTGGGGATTTCTCAGGCACCTCCCCATCTTCCCGGGAAACCTGAGCCGGGACCCTTGCCAGCGCTGTCCTGAGACCCCAGCGGGGTCTTGGTTTCCCACACAGACATCTGACCCTCATTCTCCTTGCCTGCCCCTTTCTGACGATTGATGGGGGCCTGCCTGTGGCTGTCTGTCTGTCCCCTGAGTAGATGACATGACCTCTCTCACCTCCTGTGGGGTCAATCCGGGGACATTTCTGACCTGACATGTCTTCTCTGGGGACTTCTGAACCTATGCCTCAAGGGGTCTGTTTCACCCACATCTGTCTCCCTGGACCCTGCCTGTGGGCCAGGATCTTTGGCGATCTAGAGCCTGTCTCCTCTTCCGAGGTCTCTCTTATCCTAGTCTTTTTGGCTCTCCGCCCCCTGCCCTATAAACTGGACACATCACTAGAGCTTTTGTGCCATAGATTTTGCATTTTTTTGAGCAAGGAAGTGTGTCCTGGGGACTTGGGAATCCACGGTGTCCTCATCTTGACCTCCCATCTCCGTCCCTGGTTCTGATTTCAGCACCTTCTCCTCCCCTATCTTCCTTCCTGCGGTTTCCCTGGGTCCCTGGCCAGCCCAGGATCTACACGGCAGCCCCACGGAGGCCTGGGGGAGCCCCTCCACCTCTGCGGAGTCCGTGACCAGGATCCCTAGACCCATAGTCCCCAGACCTCCCTGACCCTCTGACCTCGGTCCTCAGCCCTGGCTCTGAGGGAGTGCCTCCCCATCTCTTTCAGCTACCTTTTCCCCTCTTCCCTTTGAGATGGGGACCCCGAGTGACCCTTAGAGACAAAGTGGGTCCAATAAGAGCCCAGACTGGGGGTTGGGGCGGGGACAGAGGAGAGCGAGTTAGGGAGCCAGCTTGGCCCAGGCAGACAGAGAGAGGAGTCTGTAAGTCATCTGGCCCGTTCCCTGGCCTCTGGGGTCAGAGGTGAGGGTCTGGTGGTGACCACAGAGACAAGCAGGGCAGTCTGAAGGGGAGAGGGAGAGGTCAGAGCCCGAAGAGCAGGGTCCTGGCGGAAGGCTTGACCATAGGCTGACCCCAAGCCCCAGCAAAGAGGAAAACAGCAGAAAGTGGCCCGAAACTCGAGAAGAGCCGGGGGTTGAGGGGGAAGAGGAGACTCACCCAGGACGGTCAGCTTGGTCCCTCCACCGAAGATCCAGCACAGTGACTCAGGCTTGAACAAAAACCTCTCCCCGGGAGGCCCCCGCCCCGGCCCCAGCCCTCCACCTGCAGCTGTGCTGGAGGACGTGGGTCACCGCCCCAGGCTGGTGTCTGCTCACAGAGGGGCTTCAGCACCCCTCCTCTGCAACAGATAACAGGACAGGGGACCCCAAGAGGACAGCAGTGGGCACCCTGGAAGCAGGTCTCCCAGAGGAAGGTGGTGTCCGACCTGCGGTCCCCGGGTGCTGTCTCCTGGGATTTACCAAGTGTGTGGAGGCATCTTTGGGTCCATGAGGCTCCTTGGAAATGGACACCTCTTCTCTGCGTGTTTGGACAACCCTCCTTCCTTGGCGAGACCACGAGGTGAGGGCAGAGGGTGTCCCCTCCCCACCACAACCCCTAGCCCCTTCCAGGTCGAGGCAGTTGACCAGTGTTTGGAGCTGCTGGAATCCTCCTAGGTGCCTGAGCATCACGTCAAGGGTGTCCCTTGGATATCCTAGTTTGGGACTGTCTTGAGTGGGGGTGGGGCTGGTCCTGTAGGAGATGACAGCCTGGCCTCCAGGCTTGGGGCATCCCTGTCACTCTCAGATCTGGTCTCATGTTGGGAAGTGTGCTGGGGGGGATTCCTGCCCTGCCTCATTCACAGCGAGACAGGAGCCGCGTGTCCTCCCTGAGCCAATGCCAGCTGCCAAGAAAGGAAACCCAGATCCTGGCCAATTCTGGTTATTGGAACGAAAATGCACAGCAAGAGTTAGATATGTCATCACCCAGAATATGCGAGCCTCAAGGGTCCGTCACATGGGACCCAGGAGCCCCCTGCAGAGGCTCCCAGGGGACACATGTCCATCTTTTGGAGCCCAATTGCCATCCTCAGAAAAAAGCTGGCAGTGTGTTCACACAGCCAGATTCATTTATGTTCTGGATTATTCGCCATGGGAGAATGGCAGACTCCAGAGCATCGTGCTATAAGAGGACCCCAAGAAGATTAGGGTCATAACAGAACTTCTGTTTTGCTGGATATGAAACACACAGCAGCCCGTTCAGGGACATGGGAGCCCCCCGAGGGAAAGAGTCCAGATCTGAAATCTCCGCCGTGATGCATTCCTTCTCTTGGATGGAGAGGGTCACTGAGCACCAACTGCTAATGACACTCAAAGGTGGTCTCCCTGCCTGGGGCCATTGACGGAGAGTAGTTAACTGCCCTGGGAAGCAATTTTGCCAAAGTCCACCCTGAACCTGTTAACCCTGTGGAGCCAGAACCGCTTTGCAGGCCCATGAAGCAGACAGAACCACTCACGTACAGCAGGGGATACGGGAGGCTGTACCCCAACCCTGGGGGGTCCAGATAGCAGCTGATCTCCAGAGACCCCTCCTTGCCAGGAAAAGCCAGAGACTAAGCCACATCCACCAACCATGGTGTCAAACCTTGCTCAATCCTCATGTAAACAACAAGAAAAACCACAAAATCAAACACCACCGAGAACAGGACGAATTCAATTCACAGCTGACAATGTGAGGCGTTTGCTGAGAACTGTCATTTGATATTAACAATTTACTCATGATATCTGATCAGGTTTGATAATACATTGTAGCTCTCTTTGAGGTCCTTGTACCTCAGGACACGATCGCAATATTTCAGAGGAACAGCTCCCAATATTTGGAATTTGCTTCCAAAGGTGATCTAAGAGAGGAATTATTGTGTGGTTGTATCGTCAGTAAATGCAAGACTTTGGGGAATTCGCTGATGAGAGCACGGGGCTGTCTTTCATTCACCTGCAGCCTTATTTTTTGTGTTCAAAGTTTTCTACAATAAAAACTTACAAGAAAGTAAATGGGATATTGCTCTTGGCAAAGCAGCAAGGGACGGGGTGGTGGCATTGTACCCAGCGGGCCAGTGAGATGAGAGTTTGGTGGCCCCCTCTCCACTGGAGCCTCCACACTCAGCTTTGTGAATGGAGTCCCAGATGCCCTGGGACAGGACCCCGAAGTTTCTATCTGCAGTCAAGTCTGTGTTAGGGGTGGGAATGTCTGGGATGAGGCTCCCAGGGCACCCCTGTCCTCTGTCCTCTGTGCCCCCAGAGTCCCCTGTATTGCAGGTTGTGTCCTGGGCTGTCCTTGACCCCCATCGGCTGTGGTCAAGGCAGCAACCAGTCCCTGGCAAGCCAGAGGGCCCAAGAGGCCTGGGGACGTAGGACTGCTGGAGCCATGGGGAGCCGTGGAGATGGAAGGGGGAGGTCCCCTGGGCAGGGGTCTGGGAGCGCTGAGCCCTCAGGAGGCCTGACCTCTGGAACCCTCAGGTCACACCCGCAGCCTGCCCTGAGCTGGGTCGACCCAGCCTCTCTTCCTGAATTGTGATGGACTCTCTCTCCTTGGCACGTTGACTGGCCCCTTTGTGGGCCCAGATGACGCCTTCTGCCCCGGACCCAACACGCTTTGAATTCCCACCTCCATCAGAGTGACGGCACCGGCTCCATCTTGAACCCAACCATCAACAGCTCCCTCCCCAGCTTGACCTCAGACGCCCATGCACCGGGATGGAGGTCCAGCCCCCCACGAGGGTGGCCTTGAGCTACCCTGACCAAGCCTATCAGGACGGACACTGAGCTTCCCGGTGCCTCGACCTCACCGCAGCTCCCGGCACGAGTGAGCGGGACCAGCACCATCTCAGAGAGTGCGCCAGGTGCCCTGAGGGGAAGGGAGGGTGACTGTGATTGGCCAATTGCTAGGTCATGTGATATTGACCTGTTTCTCTGCTGCAGACCTTATCAGTGTCTTTACTTAGTTAATGGAGAAGGAAATGGCAACCCACTCCAGTATTCTTGCCTGGAAAATCCCATGGATGGAGGAGCCTACGGTCCACAGGGTGGCAAAGAGTCGGACACGATTGAGCGACTTCACTTAACTTAGTTTATGTGAGCTGTGAACATTGGACACTAGGGCTTCTGCGATGCATCCTCAGGCTTTCTGTGCTTGCTTGGTGACGGGCCAACCATGGACCCCTCACCTGGTAACTGCTCTCCCCTCCGGGTCCCCTGATGAAATAGGAAAGGTCAACCTCTGCTCCTGAGACTATGGCCTCGGAGTCTCCTTCCCCCATAATCCTGCCTCTGGTCCACTGCTGCCTCCTGGCACCCCTTTGGTTTTTTCCATGATCCTCCCAGAGCCATCCCCTGTCCCTTTCACAGGCCCTTGTCCCTTCCCAGCGGGACAGGGTGTGGGGGGGCAAGCCTGCACCCCAGGAGCCTGCACCGCCTGACAATGTCCTGCTCTGGGTCACTGCTCCCCTGGCACGCAGAGCTCCCTGGTCCCTGGGGCTGGGTTGGGGTGATGACAAGTAGATGGACTCTCACGTCATACCTGTCCCTTCCCTAAGGAACTGACCCTTAACCCCGACACTCGGCCAGACCCAGAAAGCACTTCAGAAATGTCGGCTGATAAATGACAAGGTCTTTATTCAGGAGAAGCAGGAAGAGGGAGGGAGGAGAGCCCCCCGGTCTGAGCCGACCTGGGCGGGGGCCCAGGGGTCCATGGAGGGCTGGGGAGGGGGTGAGGGCGAGAGGGGCCCGGGGCCCTAGGAGCACTCTGAGGGCTTCACTGTCTTCTTCACGGTGCTCCCCTCGTGCGTGACCTCGCAGCTGTAACTGCCTTTAGATTTCCAGTCGCTGCCCGTCAGGGTCAGGTAGCTGCTGGCCGCATACTTGCTATTGCCCTGTTTGGAGGCCTGGGTGGTCTCCACGCCCCGGGTGACGGGGGTGCCGTCTGCCTTCCAGGCCACGGTCACGCTACCCGGGTAGAAGTCGCTGATGAGACACACCAGGGTGGCCTTGTTGGCGTTGAGCTCGTCCTTGGAGGGCGGGAACAGAGTGACCGAGGGTGCGGACTTGGGCTGACCTGTGTGGACAGAGGAGGGGGTGTCAGACGCCGGGAGGTTCTGACCTTGCCCCCCAGTACAACCTCTGTGACGTGGCCCTGCGGTGGCCCTGCTTGCCTTCTTGTGCCCGCCCCCTCCCTGCACTCAGCCCCTCAGAAGCCAGCCGTGCCCCTCTCCCAAGCGACCGGCCAAGCGTGGCCTCAGGGTCCCTGGCGGTGACCAGGGCCGCTCTCCTCCGTCCTCCTGGCCCCTGGAGTCTGTGTTTGCTCTTGGCCCTGACGTCTTGAGCCCTCAGTCCCTGCCAGACCCCTCCGTGACTTTCCGCTTCTGCAGCCCAGGTGCTTCCTCTGTGAACCGCGGTCCCCCAGCCCACTGGCCAGGACTGTCCTGACGGGAGTTGGGGGGACAAGCGCGCCAGAGCCGTGTGCCCAGCGGGGCCTGGGCTTTCCTCTCCTCGTCAGGCACTGGCTAGCCCCAGCCCAGCCTCAGCTCTCCCGGCCAAAGCCCGGGGTTCCCGCTGAGGCCCTGCCCGTCTCCCCGTCTCTCCTGCCTGAGTGCAGGGCTCCTCGCCTCGCCTGCCTTCAGGGGATGGTGCCCCAACACAGCACCTCCGACGACCCCGATTTTATGGGGGTCAGAGCCCCGTTCATCATCTCCTAAGTCTAACGCCCGCCTCGAGGCCAGCGGAGGCCGACCTTCAGACAGGTGTGACCCCTGGGCCCCAGCGGATCAGGGCTCCTGGACGGAGGAGTTCCTGCCCCAGGGGACCTGCTCCTTCCTGGCTGCTGTTCCGAGAGCCTCTGGTCAGCTCGCCCCATCTCAGCTGTGTCCACCCGACCCCTCAGCCCAGGGCGGGCGAGACCCCTCTCTCTCTGCCCTCCCGGGGCCTCCCTCAGACTGCCCCCTATGTCCCTGGAGCCTGGTCACAGTCCCCGCCGAGCCCCCAAGCTCCCGTCTGGCACTCCCGGCTGGGCACGGAGCTCACAGCCTGGGGCCCGGGGCTTGGAGACACCCCTAGTCAGCATCAGCCTCTGGCCCGCATCCCAGCGTCTGCCCCGCAAAGGGGAACAAGTCCCTGCATTCCTGGACCAAACCCCAGCCCCAGCCCCCGGATTGGTCCCGTTGGACGGTAGGACTCTGGAGGCTCCTGCTGGTTACCCCAAGACCAACCAGCCTCCCATCCCTGCCCCACAGAGAAAGGTGAGGATTGGCCCTTAAGGCCGGGGGAAAGAGAGGAAGCCGCCCCCAGAGCAAGAGAAGTGACTTTCCTGAGAAAGCAGAGGGCGAGACAGGCTGGGGAAGGGCTGAGAGCCACTTACTCAGGACGGTGAGCCGGGTCCCGCCGCCGAAGACAACACAGTGAGTGACTGAGCCTCAGACCAAAACCCGTTGGGCCAGCACCTGGGGCCTGCCCCCCGGGGGCTGCGCCAAGCGGGAACCTGCTGGGCGTGATGGGCACAGGGCTGCAGCCACTGGGGCTGTGTCCTCGGGCCGAGGGGAGGTGTGGAGCCAGCCCTCCGGAGGCCAGGGCACCCCTGGGTGGGCTCATGTCCTGGAGGTGTCCCCTGCCCAGCCCCCTGGCCGAGGCAGCAGCCACACACGCCTTGGGGTCACCCAGCGTGCCCCCCGCACTCGGAGGCCGTCCTGGCCACCACTGACTCCTCAGCGCTGACGGAGACGCCGCGTCTGCGTGGTGTGGCAGAGGAGTGCCGGGCTGGCTCGGACCTGCCCGGCCGCTCCTGTCGGGCCGCTGGGCGTTTCTTCTCCACCGGTTCTCACAGTCCAGCCAGGCAGCTTCCTTGCTGGGCCTGTGGACACCAGGCTATTCCTAAGGCCCCACGTGGGGAACCCCTGCCCTGTCTCCTCCACCCACGGAGACGCAGCTCAGTTCATTCTCTTTGATGCCTTTCCTGCTGTCTCAGATCACTGTCTTTCTATACATCTGTTTCTCCATCCATCCAACATCCATCATCCATCCAACATCCATCATCCATCCATCTGTCATCCAACATCATCCATCCATCCATCATCCATTCATCCATTATCATCCATTATCCACCCATCCATCTGTCATCCATCATCCATCCATCCATCCATCATTCACCTGTCTGTCCAACAATGGCCATCAAGCACCCGTCTGCCAGGCCCTGTTTCACATGCTGGGACGTGGTTGGGGGAGCCCTCTCTCCCACACCCATCCCTCCCTGAAGCTTCTCAGGTCGAGTCTAACAAGGTCCCCGTCCCGGTCAAGTCTGCGGTCCCCCCGCAGCCCCAGAGTGCCCTTCCCCTCTCTCTGTTTCTGACCCACACTGTGCACTCGGACAACCGCCCAGGGGCCTTGCATCCCTATTCCTTTCCTGACTTCTTTTTTTGGCTCTGGGTTTATACAGAGCCAGTTTATCCAGGTTTATGCCTCCTGGATGCATCTCTGCTTGAGTGTCCCACAGACACCTCAGACTCTGCATCCCCCATCTAAACTGCTCCCAGTTCCTTGCAGATTTGGTCCCCTCATTGTTCTCAATTCGCTATATTTCTCCCCAAGCCAGAGGCCTGGACTCATCCAGTAATGCTTGCCCCTCATTGAGTCAGCCTCTGTGTCCTACCATAACAAAAAATACCTCTACAAATCTCAGAAAAACAGAACACCCAGATTGCACTGTAAGAGTTTATGATGACAAGAATCCTCAGGCCTTGCCAAATCTGATATTATCTCTCGACATAGTTAATCTAAGTAGGAAGGTAACCCCTACTTCACTGGGTACAGCATCCTTTTAATTCAGCAATGGAACTTTTGGGTCATGGTTGTATTTAAGGTATGCACATGCGATTTTTGAAACAAAATTTAACAGAACAGCAATGTAAATTCAGCACTTATTTCTGATTAAAGAAAGCAAATATCTAGCCTTTTACTAAGTTAATTATCTAAGGACACATCCTCAACTTAATGAACAGTATCTCCTGAAACTTACAGCATGCCTCACAATTAAAGGCAAAACCACTTTAGAGGCCAGGGTTCCCATGCTCGCTTTTATTATTTAACATCTTCTACAGATTCAAGCCCACGAGATGAGCTGGGGGGAAGAGTGTGAATGTTAGGAAAAATGATATTAAATTGGTTTTTGCAGGTGAGGGGCTAGTTTACTTAAAAAAAAAAAAAAAAGCAAGCTCAAGATGAACTGAAGGACTATTAGAACTAGTATAAGAGTTAACCTGTGATTGAATACAAGCAGGCGAGGCAAAAGTCAGCAGGTTTCCTTCTATACAGGCAGTAACCACTGAAAATACGAAATGGGGGAAGCACTGACAATCTCGATAAAAGTTCTATTAAAAGCCCTAAGAATAAACTTAACATGGAATGTACAGGATCTGTGAGGATAAAATATAGCACAACCTGATGAACGGACACATCAGCAAAGAGCTCAACTCCCCTCAAGTGAACCCGTGTACGCCGTGAAATTACAAGCGCAACATCAAAGGAATAATTTTGAACTTCCCCTGTGGTCCAGTGGCTAAGACTCCAAGCTCCCAAGGCAGGGGGCCTGGGTTCAATCCCTGGTCAGGAAACTAGAACCCACAAGCTGCAACTAAGAGTTTGCAAGTCGCGACTAAAGCTCCAGAGTGCCACAGCTAAGACCCAGCGCAGCCAAAAAAATAAATATTAAAAAAAAAATCAGTGAACCAGTTCTAAAGTCCAACAGTAAGAATAATGGTGGAGTTCAGTTCAGTTCAGTCGCTCAGTTGTGTCTGACTCTTTGCGACCCCACAGACTGCAGCACGCCAGGCTTCCCTGTCCACCACCAACTCTCGGAGCTTACTCAAACTCATGTCCATTGAGTCGATGATGACATCCAACCGTCTCATCTCAGTGGTGGAGAATAGACACAAATATTTTGATTGAGAATAGTAACGGCGGGATTATTCTCTAGCAGGTACCAAAACACACAGTAAAGCTACAATAATTAAAACCTGGTGGAAGGGATGCAGGAATTGATGGTTAGAACCACAGAGAGGATGTGATAAGTCAGTAATTCAGCATTTGGTGAAGGCTGTGTTTGTATTCGACAAAGACAGGACGACCAGTTCCTCATTTGGAAAATATACAAGGATACATTTCTACCAACACAAAAATAAATTCAAGGCGAAGTAAAAACAAACACCAAAACAATAGAAGTACAGGAATAAAGTTAAAAAAAAATCAAAATAGGAATGTCTTTCCTATGCTTGCCACGGATCACAAACACCATAAAGAAAAACAACCGATCTGACACGTAAAAATTAAAAAGGCTTAATGTTGAAAGACCCGACAAACGAAATTGGAAAACGGATCAGGCAAAAATATTTACCACATACATAACTAATGAGGGGTTACTATCCCAAATGGACGAAGAGTTTCTATAAACCTTAAAATATAATCAACCGAACGAAAAATAAACCAGGCAAAATTACAACCGGTACATTCACAGAAGAAATAAAATCAATCAATAAAAATATGAAAGGAATATAAATTTCACCAACAATCAAATAAACAAACAGCAAACAGTTTTGTTCTCATTTTTGCTTTTCAGACGCGCAAAATAAAAACAAGATCCAAATGTCACATTACTGGCGAGAATGGAGAGGAAAAAGCACTGTCATTCACTGCAGTGAACGGAAGCTGGAACAGACAGTTGGGAGGCCCATTGGCATCACCTATGAAAATTTCAAAGCCTGTTGTCTCTGACCCAGCATCCCATTTTTAGTCATCTTTCCGGGGAGATAACAGTGAACAAAGTACGGGCATATAGCTACACACGTTTCCACGTAGCATCTTTTGTAATTTACAATTTTTTAGTGGAAGCAACCTAAATGTCCACTCAGGGGAATGATTAAAGACAAGCTGCTTCATCCAAACTTTGAATTCACACAGAGCCATTCAGAGAACTTGGGAGATCCATGCGGGCTGATATAGAAAAATCTCAACAGACTGTTTAGAAAGATAGTTGCAGGCTCATAGGCAGAGTATGAGTCCATTTTGAAAAATAAAGCCCACCACCCATTAGGTGTGTGTGTGTGTGTTTTCAGGGACATACACCCCTAGGAGGAGTGCCAGAAGTGTACAGACCCACGTGACATTGTCTCTCGCTGGAGAATGGGTTTTAGGGTAATACGTGTGGGGTTGGTGTACAGAAACTCTCAATTTCTGCTTTATATATTTCTGTACTCAATCTTTTTTTATTTATTTTTTTTATTATAGATACATAGAATTTTACTATTTTGTGTTCATCCCAAACATCCATAATAAAGATCTTTTAAAAAACCAGAAAACTACTTACAACTATATGCTAATTAACAATTTTGAAAACTTAGATAAAACGGTCATATTCCTAGGGGGGAAAAATACTTTGCTAGAAATGACTTAGAAATATAGAAGCTATTTAAGCTAAACCAATTATTAGAAAT